AGCTTCTAGAGTTTGTGACTGATTATTGTGGGTGTGGATGCTGCACCTGCCTTGGGCAGGTAATTTGCATTACAATGTAAGGAGGGAAGAGAGGCTAGCTGCTTGAGCTGCTGCTACCCCTCCTCCCTTTGCTCTCCTGCTCTTCGCTGCCACCAGGGAAGGCTGCTCTCTGCCAAGTGCAGCTCTGCCTTGGAGCTAGCTGAGTATGGACTGAAACCTCCAGTAACTGTGAGCTAAATAAACCTTTCCTGCCCTAATTTGAGTGACAGGTATGTGTCCCAACAATGAAAGAAGAGTACCTGAGACAAAGATGAACTTTTAGTATGCTCTTAGTAGGCTAAAAAATCTTTAGGTTTGGAGCACACTGTGTTGAATCAAGTAATAAAAGCCTGTAGTCATTAGCAGATGTATTTTTGCTTTTTTTTTTTGTATTAATACTGTTATACTTTGCTTGATTAAGTAAGGGAAGAAAATTTTAAAAGTACCCTTAACATTCTAAGGAATAATTTAATCAAGATGGACTTCTACTTTCCTCATGTGATCCAACAATCTCTGAAGCCCAGAGAAGTGATCAAATATCTTTGCTTGATGATAGGTAACATTTAAGGGAGGAGATGAAAGCCTTTCATGGCCCACCATCTCTTTTCAAAATGCCCATAAAAATATTATAGAATGAAATACGTTCTCTTCAAATTCTTGTTCAAAATTCAAAAAAGGTTAAATATATAGTTTACATGGGTTAGGTGTGAATTTTTTGCCTCTCTAATGCAAACCTGAACATAAACATGTCTGTTCACTTAACAAATTATCATTATGGCCACATGCCAGGTACCAACCCAGCTAAGTATTCAAGTTACAGCTGAAAACAATGAGGACATCCTCTATCACTGCCTTGTTCCACCTCTCATGAAACTCATGAGTAGTGTGAGACTTGAATCATTTTAAGGACAGCAGGTATATAACACCAGCAGCCAGGCATGTGAGTGGAAGCCACAGTTCTCCAGGGTTCAGATGGAGTCCAGAAAGGCGATGCGACAGTGTGCACATGCTGCTTCTGCTTTTGGCCTCCCTTCTACTCACCCTTAAAATCTAGCATAGATTTCAAGTCCTAGAAGCCAAGTCCTTAATGCCTTCCCAAAGTCTAGAGTTGTCTTTCATCTTGACAAATTTTGTGTGATAGCTCTATCTTGGCATACACCACATGTGTGGGAATTGTAACTGTTCTGTTTTCCAACTACATAATGCACTCTGGCTTGGTGTTCCTGTATGTTAAATGTATTAAATTTTGTTGAATAAATCGAGACTTAGCAAAGAGAAATAACAAGTATTTAATTTCTGTCTAGATGCTTGTCTTAGTAGCCAAAACAGAAGACAAAAATAGATAAAAGTTTTAACCAAACTATTTGGGGCAATAGTTTGGAACACAGGGTAAGGGCTAGATGGCTTAATGTCTAAGATTTCTTTGCTGCTGAAGCCAAGGGGGTTATAATGGTTGAAATCAGTGTGTCAAAATACACTTTGAAACATTTTAGCCTCAAAGTTCCAGAAAATACTTAATCAGGACTTTTTTTTAAATTCTGAAATTTAAAAGCTGTACATATAAAATAACTCTAAGAGGTTTGGTGATATAGTTTGGCTCTAAAAGGCATAGACAATATATCTGCAATGAAACAAATATAGATAATAAAAGATTAAATTGCAGTTAATAAGCTTAAATTTTGGCTTTAGACATATCTAATAGGCCATAAATTTATTAAAATTAATATAGATGCTATAGTATTAATTTGACTAAAAGAAGTAAAGAATAGTCATAATTAATTTCAGAAGATTATTTTTATAATCTCAGCCTCAGTCTATGAAAAGCGTGTTATCTGGTGGTTAAGTCTGGGAACAAGAGGGAGGAGACACCACAAGCTGGAGGAGAACTGCAAAAGGTTGCTTCTCAATATTTCAACTTTATGTAGTGATAGGAAAAAGATGTATGAGTTAGCAGCTCCTGAGTGGGAGAGGGGATTAAATACTTATTCAAACAGTTGTTTTCTGCATTTGACGTTTTTATGGTTTTTACCTAGATGTCCCCCAAAGCCTTCTATGCTCCTATGTGGGGCTTTGGAGAAGTGACAAAATCATGGAAGTGTGATGCTACTTAGTGGATTAGTCCACTGATGAATCTATGACTAAATTGATATTGGGAGGTGAAGCCTGCTTGGAGGACCTCCACACCTTCCTCCTTGGTCTCTTTGCTTCCTGCCTGCCATGCCATGAGTGATTTCTGCTCTGACAAGATGCCTTGCCTTGGAGCCAGCTGACTCTGGACTGAGACCTCTACCAGCGATGAATTCAATAAAGCTTTCCTCCTTAGAGTTGTCCATGTTGGGTGCTGTGTCTGAGCAATGAGAAAGTACCTGACAGACACCGGAAAGGGGTTAAGAACTGGGACTTGAAGTCAGCCACGCCTGGGTATAACACTTGACTATAAAGCTTTATGAAGTCTATCAGAAGGTTTAGCCAAACAGCTCAGGGGATTAAAGGGGCATGCTGGCCCTGCCCCTGAGGCGAGCTGAGAGGGCAATTGAGACTGGGCATGGCGAGTGTACCTGTAATCCCAGCTCTTCAGAGGCCGTAAACAGGAGGATGACTAAGAGTTAGATCTAGCAGTGAGAACCTGAACACTATGTAGACCCTTGCCTAAAAACAAACAAAACCAAAAGAAGCCTATCAGATCTGCTTAATCTTTGATTGTTTTCACCTAAAATGGAGATAAAAATATGAACTACTTTGCAGTTATTGAGAAGATTAAATGTGATGATGTGTTTAAAATATTCAACATAGTACATGGCATTCAGTAAGCCAAATAACTCAGGAAAAATTAGATTATTACTCCTGATAATAATATTACTATTTTACTTAGGATGTGAATTAAGAGGTAGAATTTAAAATAACTGTCGAAAGTCTTCTAAAACAACTTTTACAAATAGATAACAAAGTGAATTCTGAAATATCATCTTATTCTATAAATAATCATGACCCTTTTTGCAATAAAAAATTTTCCCTAACCAAATCTTATAATTTTTATAACATCTACACTAATAAATATAACTTTATACCTAGTTCCTAAAGATAAATTTGGTCATTTGGATTTCTTTCTACTCAGTTAGAAATGTAAAGAAGCAGCACAATAAATATAAATGTAAAATAATTTCTAAAAATATTGTCATCTATTAGATATTAGAAAAGAGAAACTGATCTTTGTGAAAAATCTTCTGCTAGAAATGTAATCTACTGACTTTATTATTATAATGGCCCTAAACTTTAACATAATTTATAGTAACTTTAGAGATGTGCAACACGTATCTTTTTTACATAGTGAAAGATAATATAATTTGTAAGTACAGCAGAGCTACTATAGCCCAAACATTTTACTAACATTCTCATAGGAGCACTGGGTTCCCCGAGGCTGGTGCATACAAGTATCTAAAATAGTCTTCTCCTGCATAACATTTAAATTTTTTATTTTAAATTAAGCAAGACTGTCCTGTTAGACAATCATTGTACATTTGTTCTTTAATGTATAGTCATTGTTCTTTAATATCTTATAGTGAGGAATAAGCTGTTTATCTTATTAATAATAAAAGTAATTGAGGTATCTGTTCATAATGAAAAGAGCTGCGCAGTAGGAATTAGAGAACTTGTTATGGTCACAGCTGTGACACTACCTCTGTACTCTTGGGAAGTTTTCAGCCTCTCTGGCTTTCCATGTACTCATCTACAAAACAAAATAATCTCTAAGGTCCAGGATAATGCTATCTTCTAAAATTTTGCAATAATTTCGTAGGTCACGATGGCTCGAAATCATAAACCTCAAATTAAGAATTACTTAATTTACAGTGAACTTTCCTGATTTCTAATTCTTTTTTCTTATAATAGGAAAAGTGAAAAATAATCATAAAGACATACTAAAAGAAGTTAAAGAAAAAAGACCTATTCGAAATACTACTGCAGAATTACCTTTCCTCTTATTTATTAAGCATTTACTATATACACTTTGCCTTGGGCAGTTAGGATCCACATAGTTATTAAGACATGATTACATCCCTGTCTTTCTCTTATTTACCTCATTATTTTAGGTTACCTAGAAACGTCGCAAAACTTTCCTTTCCCATCACACAGGAATATTTATAGAGATTAACTCATTAATATCTTAAAAAACCTTTGAATGAGACGTGAATGAGACATGAATGAAATTTTTCTATTTACAAATATGGTACACATGGACAACATGCTCACTTTGAATAAATGGCCCTCACAAAGTGAAGGTAAGAACTCCTTAAGATGGAATACGGGGGCGAAGGGAGCCAAAGTGTGTACAAAACCCAGGCATTACCAATGGCTTCCTGAATTAAGAAGAGGATGCCATGTGGGTGAATGCATCAGATTAGTAAGAGGTTTTAGGTTTTTTTGTTTTTTAAAGCAATCAGTCTTAGACAAAAATATCAGAGATTGAGTTAATTCACCTTTTTTTTAAGAATTGCAGCATGTCCTTCCACAATATCACAGGGAGTTCACCTGCATTTAGGATTTCACTGAAATATGAGTCAAAATATTTCTAACTATACTGGCAAAAATTGCTCAAAGTGTACCTTGACATTTAGAAAATCTACTATTTAAAAATGCTGTTAATGAGAGTACAGAGCTTTGAAAGGATGCACTGGACAGGGGCTACTGGAAATGTGTGAAAGTAACTTTGAATCATCATCATGATACTATAGTAACTATTCACTGCAGACCTGAAAAGAAAAACCCGAGAAACAATCTCAAGGCAATAATGTAAGCATGGAACGCATGAGTAAACAATCCCATGGCAAACACGCACATCTGCACATTTCTACTGCTTTAGTTATACTGAAACTAGAAAATTTCACAGCAGCCTTCTAAAATCACAGAGCAACAGGATAAAAGTAGATTAGAAGAATGTGCAATTTACGTGTAGGGTTTATTACCATGGTTACAAACTTTCAGAACAGGCCTCTGAGACACTGGACTGAGATTCTGCTGAATACCTGTTTTAAAAAAGAAAAGAAAAGAAAAGAAACTTAATATAGAGATCTATTCATTTCAAAGAGTATGATAGTACTAGACATGCTTTCTCCAAGGTTAAGTGTTTCTGAAGGCAAAGAAATGCTTCACTACCCTAAAATACTTGAAGCTGTAATGTTATGACTTTTACTTCCCATTTAATTATGCTATGTAAACTCCACTGGGACAAGGTACATATGGTTCTTTAGATGAAACTTGTCATACTAATCAGGATTTTCTAGGTTCAGTGAGTTGATCTGTTAATGTGCTACTGACATCAGCCAACTGGAATGAGTATTTCCCTTCCATTTGTCTTTGCAAGGGATTAAACAAACTTACGAAACTTCTAAGCAGTTGTTGCCCACAGCGCTGCATTCTTGACATAAGACTTTAAAAGAATTAGGGGGAACAAAATCCTCTATGGTACTTCCCTGGAAAGTAAACATGAAAAGAGTACTCGGTTCACCTTTCAGTTTTGGTGTCCTTTTTCTTCTGTCGCGGAAGGCAGCTCCCGACTGCAAGGCCTCCAGCAGACTATCCATCACCCCTGTCTCATCACCCTCTGTGAAAAGAGATGCGGGGAATTCCATCAGCCCTCAGGGTTACCAAGAAAGTCAAAGCATAGACAAAACAGGAGATGGTGCTGAGGGAAAAGACCAGATGCCAGGACAAAGCCAGCAATTTCAAAATTCTAAGTGCTTGAATGCTCTCATAAATCAACTAACTCCTAATGAAATCTGCCTCATTAGTGCTTGTGCTACTGTCCACTAAAGAGGACCAAGCTACACTGATTCACTTCAGAGCACTGCGTTTATAGTCCAATGGCACAATAACTTTAAATTAAATGTGATCTAGTCATCTGTGTCTGGAGTTATCATAAATCATGCTTCCCTGATAGAAATGTATTATTTTCTAAGGTATAAGTCTTTATTCAAAAAATGACCAAGTATAGGACAGTGCTTGAGTGGTTATTATTGAAATTCTGCTGTGTGGCCTTATCATATACAATTACATTTCCATGGCAACTTTTGATGTTTCTAACAACTGATTATTTTTCTGATATCAGTGAATAATTGCCCCCTGACTTTAAATGACACAGCATAGTCACTGCAAACTTTTATAGAAGATATAAAAGTTTATCTTCTATAAAAAACACAGTCAAAACTCGAACATATGATTAAACTAGATTCCGAAGATAATGAACAAAGGATGTAGATATACAACCAATTCCATCTACAAACAACAGATTATATAAGATTCACACATGCTTATATTTACCAATGCTTAATACTATTCAAAGGAAGCAGGGGGAAATGCTTCAAAGAAGCTGTTGACCCAATCCAAACCCAAGGCAACACTAAGGATGCTTTTGTCCCTCCAAGAGAGGTTATTTGCAGCATTCTCTATGGAACTGCATGGCCTGAATAACATTACACCTGAAATAACACAGACTTGTTTTCCTCTGACTTACTACTTTTGTTTTCCTTTTTGAAGCATTCCCTTTATAGAGTATTTGACAAGTGAATGCAGTAGAGTACAAATAGCACACCCATTTACAGTTTACAAACAGATATATAAATATAAATATGTATCAGCCGCTTTCCCATCTGGTTTTCTTTCATATTTTTAGAAGAGTACTAAACTTTGTAGGTGTTATCAGAAAAGGTGGGTGAGAAATACAGTACTTGGAGGCTTTTAATTTACACATATTTAATTCTAAACTGGCTTATTGGCTATTTTTAATTAACATACTAAATATTTCATACAGGTTAATAAGTAACCATCTATCTTCAAAAATTTACACTCAAACCTAGGTGTGTTTTTCCTAAAAAGAACTTTGGATAATGTCAAATATTTAAGGTTATGAGCATAGTTTCTTAGTAAACAAAAACATATTAAAAATGTACAATTAAATGTTTTGAGTCCATGGATATTTACAAAAACATGACACTATACGAGCCAGCTAGATAGCTCAGCAGTCTAAAGTGCCTGCTCAGACAAGCTTAGGAAGGCACAAGGGACCTTGGTTAGATCCCCAGCATCTTGGCTATTAAAGAAGAAAAAAATAATTCAAGAAATTTAAAAATATTTAATGGCATACTCCTTAATGGAAAAAAAAAGCTAAAAATAAAACTTCAACTTTCTCCTTAATAAATTTGTACTTGTGAAGGTGTTGCTGCGTACCTCCACAAAAGCATTAGCAATTTATTATAAGATTGAGCAGATACGTGCCTGCTTAGGCAGGGACCAGGGTTTGATTCCCTGTACCACATGCTGTGCTGGCTGGGGGGGTAGTAGTATACGCCCGTAATCCCAGCACTGGGGAGGCAACTGTTATACCAAATACATAAAAAAAGAATGAGAGAGAGAGAGAGAGAGAGAGAGAGAGAGAGAGAGAGAGAGAGAGAGAGAGAGAGAACACGCAAGCGAGCAAGCAAGCAAGCACTAAAGCACTAAGACCAAGCAGATAGGCATCTGTTGTCAACCACAATGATGCTTGCTTGGGAAAGGAAATACAAAGTTGGAAAGGAAGGAGGAAAGGAAGAACTCTGAAGTACTGGTCTGAATTCACAGGAATCAATCTAGGCTCAGGGGTTTAGAAAAAAATACTTTCCCCAACTTTTGAACCAAAAGAGTTCAAAAACAATGATTTGACTGCATCAACGAGCACATTATCCTTCATGTCTTGGTTTCTAAATACCATGACTCACTAAAAGAAACCAGATAGAAAAAACAGTGGGTTCTAGACCACAGATTAGGGAAGCACATAGTGTCGGGTTAATAGAGGAAAATTAGTACTTTAAAAAATGGGTGTCTCAAAAGGACAGATTAAAGGGTTGTCTTGGCTATACCAGGACTATTTGAGCTTCAAATAAGTAATGATAAAAATGGATTACTGAGGGGCTGGGGAGATAGCACAGTAGAATATGCGCTTGCCTTGCCAAGCATAAGGGCCTGAGTTCAAACCCCAGTTCTGAAAAAAAAAAATATTGCACACTGGGAGAAGAACAATTTTGTATCCACACTGACACTGGAAAAATAAAAACAGAGGAAAGTAAGGTATTATTTATAAAGGGGTATCAACTAGTAAATGTCAAAGATATGAAGGATATAAAAATTCATATTACAACTCATAGTAAGAAATGAATTAAGCAGGACCATTGGTGGTTGCAAAAAGTGGTGTGTGTGAGGCTGTGAGGAAATGCATATAGAAAAATATAGAATACTATTTACCCAGAGTCAAATGTGACATAACCAATAATAGGATGCAGTCACACTAACTGCCTCCTGAAATGACAAGCAACATAACCTGTGTAGTACTTCACTTGGAAATATCTAACCTGCATCTAAATGTGAGAAAACAAACATATGGGCGAGAGCATACTGACATTTAAAATACTTATCACAGAAAAGTACATTGCTATTAATCTCCTTCAAAATAAACTCCTTAACTTCCAACACACGCATCCCCAGCATTCTTGCCACTTTCTAAAGCAACTCTGAAAGTCTGTTTCCATGTCTTTAGTAGCTCTATCATGATAGCTACTGCGAAGTTGGGAAACAATGAAAATGTTACTTCTCACAGTCCCTCTAACTTGGGGGAAGAGCCTAAGTTGCACTGTGCCAGATCCAGGAATCAGGGGGATAAAGACCACCAAAATGTTCTCAGGTGCCTGCTTTTGCACTGGACGGCATTTGGCAGCAGCATTTAATGTATTTTAATCTCACCTTCAAAAGACACTCATAAAAGAGGTCTTCCAGAACTGCTTCAGAAAGTAACAAGTACAACAGGAGAAGTATGTTCAAATAACTGAAAGTGTATTTTTGAGAGAAATTAATGCCAATGTAATAAATTTTTATTTAAAAATGCAATGTATTTTTTAATTCTTGTACAAATCTAAAATAAGGAACACTTGGTGACATTAACAAGCACTAAAAATCAAGACAAATAGGACCAAGAAGAGTAAAACAAAAAACAAAAAGAACAGAAAGAGCTAGGAAAGTGTTTTAGATTAAAGGAGACTGAAGGGATATAGTAAGTACAAAGCAGTCTTTGATGAGCTTGTGAATTGTAAAAAATTTGCAAGTGACATTATTGGGGAAATCTGAATATGGACTAGATATTAGATAATTATACCAATTTTAAATTAGCATATTATGTCTACATGGGATACTTTCACGTTCTCAGGAGATAGATGATGACATATTTAGACTTACTAAGCAACTCATATAAGTCCCATGTCCTCTACTTCGGGCCTGCTGTTCTCTCTATATGGAGTAACTTCCCCACTTTCTTCAATGAGGCAGACCCTGTCTCTCCTTCAAGAAAGAGAATTGAGAATCTTCTCCTGACCAGTGTGGGCTGAACCGGTACCTTTTATTTTATAGTATTTCAACACTATGTGCTTCCCTAACCTGTGATCTAAATTACATTAGTGCATAGAGCAATAAATCCTTCCCAGTGTTATACTGATTACTTGACTGTTTCTACCACCAAACTATGAGCTAGCTCATTGTCGGCAAGAAGTATATACTGCATTCATAGTTATACCTTAAAATGTGCTTACTGCATAGAAAGTGTTCAGGAAATTAATATATTGACTAAATTAAGAAATGAAACATTAAGATGGCCACTTGGAAGGACTGCCCTCAGAGGCAGAAAGGAGGCCAGGAAAGTGGCAGGCAATTTCTGTGGTCAGTGTGCAAAATAGTACTTTGAATCTTTCATTTCTCTTGGTGTACACAACTCTTCAGTTTTTAAATGTTTTTGATGAAATATCTTCCAAACTGACCTGATACTGCTTTTCTAACTAAGTAATGGTGGCACAGAAGAGAAGAATTTCTCATCTAGGATCCTGACTTGCCTAGAAAGTCTGCTGCTCCTAGTCTTTCTCTAATTCTAACGTGTCTCATACATTATTGATACATTTCTAAAGCAGAATTATGATCTTCAATTCCTCTAGTTGTAAACTTTCAATATCTGCTATTTCCTACAGTATACATTTCCATGTCTTTTACTTCCTCTTACCATGATTCCAATTGCTTTCTAATTTTACGTTTTTCTTTACAACCTACTCTTCAGTTAAAAGCTATTTCCTTTGATTTTCCACTTCTAGTCTATCTTCTGTCCACCATGGACAGACTATATCTCTACTTTGGCCCTCCAGAGTTGAAAGCTTTTCTTGACTTTCACTCCCATATACATACCGAACCTGCTAACTGGAACGCCCAACTACCTGTGTGAAACTGGACTATTTGCATATGCATTCTATGAGCAATAGAGATAATATATGTCTAGGGTAATGAAAGGCTCAAATGGCATAATACAAATGAAAGCAGGTGATTTAAAAGTGTAGGGAAATAAGTTTATAAATGAAGAGAATAGTAATAGGAAGCTCATAAAATTTCTGCATATTAAATGGTTCAAGTGTCATTTTAGACATATTTCAAATTAAGTTTTCTATAGTATATTGCTTGTGTTATTTCTAAGGGTAACTCTCATCTGAAATACCAGCAGACTCTTGAAATCAAATGAGTATGTAAGGTAGGGACATACAAGGA